ACTTTCCTGTCACCCCTCAGAAGAATGTGGTCCAAGGTCTGGTGGGCCACTCTGCTGTTGTTGATTCTTCAATTCAGTGACTTTTGACCATACTCCTGAGAGCTCACTTTATTCTAGCTGTCAACTCCCACCTGCATAGCCAGACTGGGCAGAGCCTAGGGACCCTGGAGGCAAGAACTGCTAAGTGGGAATGGATCCCATGGGAAGAAAATGTGCACACCAAAGAAAACCCAAGGTGCAGGTTCCGTTGGTCAGAAATGAGTCTGAGGCCAGGGAGCTCCCTGTAAATCAGGCTGAAAAGAAAAGATAGATTTGTCCTTGGACAATAGACCTGTGTTCTGGTGGTAGGTGGGAAGACAGTTTCAGGAACTGGGCTAATTAGAATTGGTGTTTGGATGGGTCGAATCTGGAAAGACAATGTTAAAAAGTGAAGTTCTCTTTTCCAGAGGGTCAGACCCAATGCAGCGAGACAAGCAGATGGTGTGAGAGCTCTCTCTCATCCACATCCACCCACAGTGGCCACTGCAAGCATGCTTCTTAGTGGAGGAGCATTAGGTGTCCCCTGACAGTGTTACACTGGAAGAGATTCTCTTTAGGCCAGATTTACCGTGGCCATTTCCCACTCTCCAGGCAGTCCTCATTTGCTGAGCACTGCATCAGCAAGCTTCAGGAAGCGCTAATTACCTTTTTGGCTGGAAAACTCCCTTCACTCTGAGAAAATGTAAAACAACTTTCAGCCAGTTTGTAAACACAATGTTTTGTTTTATAGACTTGTTTTTGTTGTTCAAGTACCTATCACCCTTATGAATTTTATTTGCCACTGTTGGCTGCCTCCCCCTTCCCCTCTCTCTATAATAGGTAGAACATATCCTCAGATAAGGATTTAAAAAAGAATCAGCCTAATTGGCATGGCTCCCCCCCCCCCCCCCCCGCAACACACACACAAAGTATTTTGATGACATGACACCAGACAGACTCCAGGGAAATGGTTTAAATATGACTACTAAGAGAACTGGTAGCTAACTTAATTGTAAGTCAGTTTTGGATTTTCGGAATGATTCAAATAGGTAGAAATAGGGAGAAAACCAGCCTCGGTCTGGTTGAATTCTTACAGCCCAGTAGTCCTCCTTTTCTAAATTATCTGTTTTATCTCATATCCTGGGAAATCATGATAAAATGAGATCAGTGGACTTCAATGTTTGGGGGCAGGAGATGGTAGGTAGGATTGAGGGGTAAATATCTCATATGTCCTCAGGCTAAAATTCCCTGAAGTGTTGGAAGTGCCCAATAAACCTGGAAACTGTAGAATTTTAGGGTGCTATTTTAAAGATAACAATTACAAAACAACTTAAATTAGAAAATTTGGGTGGACAAAAAGAATAGAAATTGCAGAGACCTGCCAAAGATCTTTTGTCTAAAGATATTTTAAAACTTGCAAAAGCGTAGGATAATTGTAAAGTCTTCTTTAAATTTTTTTTAAAATGACAGTCATTTTTCCCTAATTCAGAAAGGGGATAAGTGATCAGAATAGTCTTCAATCTGTGTAATTTAGCTCATTCTTTCATCATAATCACCAGCAAAGCAGTTAAATTAAACAAGAATTTCGGAAGATAAAAGCTAACCCTTGTTATTTTATAAAGCTAAGCTAGTCTGTTTAGATTTTTCTGAACAATGGAAAGCTAAAGGTTGGATTAGGAAAGATAAATGTCCAGATTTGAATTTAGAAATGCAGATATACTAAATTTGATTTTGTTTTAGAGATTACGTAAGAAATGACTACTTTGTTATTGTGAAGAGGCTATTATGTTTGAATTTTACCATCCAGAAGACTCAGTCCTTACACAGTGGTGGGGGCTTTCTTCCTCACAAGCAGCATCCTAATGGAGATGCATGACTGTGCCATTAGTATTGCTGATGGGAATATTTGCCTCAAGATTTAAGCCTGCGGCTGTGGAAACTGCTATGAATACTCTAAAAATAATAATGTTGTGAGTATTTATGTATGGTTTCTTTTCAGATGTTTTTTTATTCCACATATACTGGAAAATGACTTACAATCTGTGTAATTGTGGTAATTGGGAAAAGCTGTTGAGATGAGGTTTCTAAAATCAATAAGAAGAGCAAAATAAATGTGATCATTGTTCATGACATATTTGGTTTTAATGTTATATCATCATTTCATACATTGAAGGGGTTTTAATGTTGTCACTAAAATGGCACCTAAATAATTCACGCAATGTATAAAAATGCAGTGAGCACCACACGTTCTCCTGTTGCTATATTTATTTATGGCAACGTACACTGCTTAATGTGTACTTTTATTTGAAAAGCGTTTTTATAAATGTTTGCTATTTGCACTTTCTCTTTGAGAGAAATCTTGCACCGCCGTTCAGTATGAGAGACCGTCAACACAATTAGCTTGAAAGTACTTCATTTGCCAAAGAATTGAAACTATTTTTGAAAATGATGGGTAAGAAAGCTTGTATATTACCTTAGGTCCAGTTCAGTAGCAGCAATGCTGAGACAGAGATTGTAACAAGTGATTTGTTGGGCAATGCTCTCCGGAGAAGGGTAGTAAGGGAAGCAAAATAGAGGAGGGGAAAATGTCTACGCAGAGATCTCAGTGGGAATGAGCTGCGGTTTGCTCCCACAGTGAAGCTCTGCAGCACAAATGGTATCACATAGCTGGTCCCATCTTGGGGTAAGTAGGCGGGGCTTCTGTAGCCCTCCATCAGATAATCAGTCATCAGTTTCGGTTAGCTCTTGTGTAGGAGAGCAGCCTTCTGCATGAGGCAGCTCCCAATTGGTTCAGAACAATTCTCCACAGAGGAAGGTGCACCTGTGAATGATCAGCATCTTGGTAATGGGGATTCTACCTAATAAAGGTGATCTGTCATGGTTTCAAAGCATCCTTTATACAGATGAATGACAATGTAAAAGAACAAAAAAAATGACTGAACTTAGACTCTGCCACTTCCTCCTCCCCAGCACACATTCCCAAAGGCACCCACCCACATTTGTAATCAAATAAAGGTAGACATACAAACCCTGTTAAAGTCCCTTTGCTTATGGAAACAGTTTAAAAACACCAATGAGGACATGGACTTTAGGTCTACTCATTATTGTGGCTGTGGTGTAGTAATAGAGAATTCATGTGGCTAACTCTGCTATTAAAATGCATTTATGTTATCATGAATGAAAATGAGTTCTTTGAGAGAGCGCCAGAGATATTGCCCTTGAAGACTTGAGGGTGTTTTAAATGCCAAGTACACTCAGGCAAGCTTTTCTCCAGGCTCAATATCCCTATTTGAAAGCCTTTATTTTCAGAAGCTGTTGACTGTCTATACGTGCCAACTGATTCAGACAGAACAAGACACTCAAGGTGTTCAATGAATGAATTCATCTCATATTCTTTCTCTGCAACAAATTAGGCCATAGAGAAGCACTGTAGAGTATCCTGCTTCCTAGTAGAACATCTGTAACCCCCTCTCCCAATTATAGAGCTGTTAGCGATTATCTTCTTTGAGAAATATTTTTTCTTTCTTTCTGCTTACCAGAATAATGAAATGCTTTACAGATACTAGGTAAACTTGTGTGAAGACAGTGGAATTCCCATTAGCATCACTGGTTTAAAGAGTTTTTTATTGTTTTAAATTGTCAAATATTTTTCAAGGGCAGAGAAGTCGTATGAACATTTTTTTGAATTGTACAGTTAACTTTAAAGTAGAAGACCACTGATATAGTAGAAATAAACAATAGCAAGTCTTCATCATGGATCAAGGAAATATTTGTTGCTAATAATATTCCCTCTGATTGCATCTGTATTTGATTATTCCAATTTATTAAACAGGAATAATAATATGCAAATAATCACAGAATAATGAGTCATTAATTCAGTTTAGAGTGCAAGCTGATACTGCAACCTTTTCACTCCACATAGGGCTTTGCTAATGCAGTTGACTGTTGAAACAACAGGGGCTTGAACTGCATGGGTCCACTTATATGAGGATTTTTCCCCAGTAAAAACAGACAATTCTTCCAATCTGCGGTTTTGTATCTGTGGATTCAAACAACTGCAACAGTGTTTTCACATTCCCAACTGCAGTTTCCCAACTGCACATTTCCAGCAGTCAGATCGAAAATAGTGTTTTGGATCCCTGGTTGATTTAATCTGCCAATGCCAAAAGCTGACTGTAGAATCAAAGGTTATAGCTGGATTTTCATCTGCACCAGGTAGATACCCTGTGTTGTTCAAGGGTTAACTGTATTCTACATAGGAGCACAAACCAGGTCTGTGGCTAAGAGTATTCTCAAGTGAGAAAGGCATTTTGGAGCTTGGTGGACATGTTATTGGTAAGATGACTTGAAGGGATCCTCTTTACAAATGAATTCTTTAATGATCTGAAATGTAATGTTATTGGTTATCTTTTCACAACCAATGTCTACTCTTACCCCAGAAAGTGAGATGTTGAGAAGGTAAAGTAAAAGATAATTTTAGACTTGCTCTTAAAGTCAAACCTGAAGTGAAGTGCATTCCTCAGGCCTTAGTTTCCTGCATCTAATTGTTCATTTAACTGTCTACATTTGTATTTTCCTCCAGTCTAGAAATAGGAACTTTGTTGAATAAGCAAAATTCCTTTTTAATCTGTATGTTTAATAATTTATTTCCCAATGTTTTAAAAATTTCATTTACTAGTCATATTTTAAAAATATAGGCAAGATAGAATAAATATTTTAACAATTCTATGTCTCATTGTCAAACTTCTTCAAATTATGCCTGGAACTCATGGCAAGACCACATAAAGGATTGAAAGGACCAATTGTAGTAGAATTTAGAACCTTTCTAATAGCAGATATTTAGTTTGGCTAATGTAGTAAAAAAAAAAAAAAAGGCTTCATTTTAGGTAATCATCCTTACTTGCTAATAGCTTGAATAGTTTGAGGTCCCTCAAACTCCATGATTGCTTAACAACATGTTGTAATATTTTTGTTGCTTCCAGAAACTTCCAATTAAGTGAAGAAGAACACTGGATATACCAGGCTGTTTTGGATCAGTATCCTGGAGATCTCTGTGGCAGAAGAACTCTGTATCTGGACATGTTACAACGATATTTTCCTCACAAATCTAGGCATGCTTTGGTGAGTACTGGCAAGTTGTTTCCTTGGTCCATAATTGTTAAGATATATATAAAATGGTGCTCCAAAATTTAGTTATTCCTACAGTCTAGAAAATAATAGTGTTCTAGGTTGAAGTCTCATATTTCAAGTCTGTGTGGTCCATAAGAAGGTGGGTGACCCCCCTGGCAACATTTGCTCTTCTGTGCTCACTTGCCCCAGAGATCTTCACTGTGGCTCCCTGGTTTCTCTGCTAGTATTGGACTTCCAGGTGTGTATACATTCACCTGCCCGCCACCAGAGGTTATTTCATCTTTGGGTCTTGCTGGAAAGTGGAATGAATGCCTGCTCCTGCTCCTTGGTCCACAGAGTTGCCACACCTCAGTCCTTCTAGTCATGGGGAAGCCAACACTCACCTTGCGGGCTGGTTTTTAGCTATACCGTCCCCACCACCATAACTCTGTTTGATCCCTCTACATGGCTCTGACACACAAATGCCTCAAATTCATAGCCATGCCTGAAATTTCCCTGAGAAGGGCCTGGAAATTATTGTTTCATTTTCTAGTTAACAAGACAAGAACACAAAAGTTAGCTTGTCACCAATTAATTTCATAAAACTCACCTTAAAATACTAGTATGTATGTAAACAAGTTCGCATAGACTCTTAACTTTTAAATGGGCCAGCCTATAAAATATTATCACATAATCTGCATTTTTCTAACTTTTAAATTCAGCAAGTAAGAACAATACTAACATGTATATAGAGTTTACTTTATGTCGGGCATGTGTATAGTAAACTCCTGTAACACACATAACAGTTGATAAGAGAAGTACCATTGTTATACTTATTTCACAGATGAAGAAATTGAAGCAAAGGCCACACAGCTAGTATGATCATCATCTATCCTCTCCCCCACCCTCCCATTATTATTTGTTTTAATTTTGAGCTATAAATAGCAGATACCTGTTATTTAAAAAACATTAGCGCTGGCCAGTGTGGCTCAGTTGGTTGGAGCATTGTCCTGTACACCGAAAATTCACGGGTTTGATTCCCAGTCATGGCACATACCTAGGTTGTGGGTTCAATCCAGTTGGACTGTGTATGAGAGGCAAATGGTTGAGATTTCTCTCTCTCTATCTCTCCCTCTCTCTCGCCCTCTCTCTGAAAAAAGACACACAACACACCACATTAAAAAAACATGTTATATAATAAATAATTCACTCTAGAATTTTTAGAAAGTCTTAATTTATTAAATTAGATCTTTCTTTTTATCCCCTGTCAAATCTAGTTGCTTCTGTGACCAGCTGTCATTTTTATCTTTGTAGACTTTTTATATTTGCCTACTATTTACATAATAAAGATTTTTACATTTACTTCTTACATTGGGCTGATTAGTATGCATTTCTGCATGGTGCATGCTTCCTTTCTTAATGTTTGACAGGTTTTAAGTGTATTTTTGGCTTTGGGGAACAAAGCTAAAAAGTTTACAGAACAGATTTGAGCAGTGGATGTTTGGTGTACGTGAAACCATAGCCTGTTTCATCATGTGCCTAATTAAACAAACCTGAATTATTCTTTTAGGTGGGACCAACCTTTCCCTGCTTGCGACCTTCTTTTTTCACACCATTTAGAGGTTCAATAATATACCAAATTCAGAAACATGGTCTATACTGGCAAAATAAAGAATTATTTAGGTCAGTGACTCTCAACTTCAGGAGACACATTTATATAATGAGCATTTCAGAATCACCTACAGAGATTTTTTCAACCACTCGGGCTATCTCTATTCCTATTCCTTCCCTCAAGGCTGAGATCTCCTCTGGTTGGGATTCATGGGCAACAGGAACTTCTGCTGCTGATGTGAGAATGCCATGTCCCTCAGGAGCGTGGGATGGGAAGGGCTAATGTCATTTCTATAATTACTTCAAGTTTAGACATCTTAACATCCGGGCAAATTATTAAGGGCAAATTGAGTTTTCAGGATTATTTGTAACAATTTTTTAATGTTTATTAGCACATGTCAAACTAAAGCACTTAAACGAATTGTTAAAATACCAAACTAATTTAAAGATGGAGTGTTTTTGAAATTATATATAGGGGAAATAATGCTTTCTGCTCATAGATTCATTGCCATGTAGAAGTGGAAGTTATTATAGGGCTGCCTGTGTCTGACACCATCCTGTACGAGGAAACTATGGATTTATAGTCCCTAGTTACCAGTTAGCCACAGGCTCAGAACTCTGGGACTGGAACCAGAGATGCTTGTCCCCAGTAAATATCAGTTGTTATAATTCATTTTATTCATTTTCGTAACAATGACATAAGGCATAGACTCACGTTCGTTATAAGTGTAAAGAGTGTGCTAATATCCATCCATTTTCTTTTCAGGTCGAACATGAGAAATGTTGTGACCAATATCACTTTGCAAGGGAGCAGCGAAAGGTCCTGATATCAAATTGGAATAAGAATAGGAGGGATTTTATACAGAAGGCTGTGCTGACACTTGCCGAGGCCTGTGCGGCTCATGAAATGGAGAGCACGTTGGCTAAGGACAGGAGAAAGCAACAGGATTTGTGTGCTGACCTGAAAGCCAAGGTGAGATGCTTTGCACGAGGTATTTCAGTGTTTTCATGGGTATTCATTTAAGAATCCACTTTCCCCTCTTGTTCAAATTCTAACTGAAGTTCACTCTCCTTAAAAAGCCTATTTTGAATAAAATTGTTAGTTCAAACCATCAACAATCAAGAATTTCATGTGGTTCAAGCTGAAGTTCCTGTAACAGGAGCTTAATATCGAAGTCCTGATTGAGAGATGATAGCCAACTCCAAACCATTCATGCTGCACGCCAGAGTGAGGTGCGGGGCGAACACGCAGAGTGTAGTTGTAAAGTTACCGTCTGATGCTGGCTCAAAGATGCGTGAACCTCTCATTCACACTTAAAAAAGGGTCAAGTTATGGAGAGGAAAGAGAATCTGTGAGGAGATATGTTAGGAGAGCTTGATGGGCTGTGAGTCCTCAATAAAGTGAGAGGGTGAGGAGATGGGGTTTCCTTCCTCCTCAGACCCAGTGAGGCGCCTCCAGGATGGCTTGGGGAGTTTAGTGGGTCACCCCTGTAGTTGGAGGCTTGTGGACTGGTGTCTGATGCTCCCAGGGGAATACAGAGGAGCTGCCTCAGTGGCTCCTCTGATTTTAATTTTTCCTATCCACCGGCACAGTATATACTTCCTTTATTTGTCTTTTTTTTTTTTAGTTTCTTTTTACAGTATCTTATGATTTTCTGAGTACAGGCCTTTTACATCCTCGGTTAAATTTATTCCTAGGGATTTTATTATTTTTGAAGCAATAGTGAATGGGATTGTTCTTTTTGTTTCCCTTGATGATAGTTCATTATTGGTGTATAAAAAATGCAAACAACTTCTGAACATTTATTTTGTATGTTGCTACTTTACTGAGTTCATTTATCAGTTCTAGATGTTTTTGGTGGAATCTTTAGGGTTCTCTATGTACAGTATCATATCATCTGCAAATAATGACAGTTTTACTTGTTTCCAACTTGGATGCCTGTCATTGCTTCTTCTTGTCTGATTGCTGTGGCTAGGACTTCTAGTACTACGTTGAATTAGAGTGGTGAAAGTGGACAATCCCTGTCTGATTCCAGATCTTAAGGGAAACACTTTTAGATTTTCCCCATTGAGTATGATGTTGGTTGTGGGTTTGTTATATATGGCTTTTATTATGTTGAGGTATGTTCCCTCAATTCCCAGTTTGCTGAGAGTTTTTATCATAAATGGGTGCTGGATTTTGTCAATGGCTTTCTGTGCATTTATTGATATGATCATATGATTTTTACCCTTCATTTTGTTTATGAATCACGTTGATTGATTTGTCAATATTGTAGCAATCTTCATCCCAGGAATAAATGCCCACTTGATCATGGTGGGTGATCTTTTTAATGTATTACTGACTTTGGTCTGCTAATATTTTTGTGGAGAATTTTTGCATCTGTTTATTAGGGATATTGTCCTATAATTTTCTTTCTTTATAGTATCTTTATCTGGTTTTGAAGTTAGGATTATGCTGTCTTTGTAAAATGAGCTTGTGAGTCTTCCCTCCTCTTGAATTTTCTTTTGACTAGTTTGAGAATGACAGGTATAAGTTCTTCTTTGAATGTTTGGTAAAATTCACCTGTGGAGACATTTGGTGCAGGACTTTTGTTTGTTGGGAGTTTTTTGATTACTGCTTCAATTTTGTTAGTTGTAATCAGTCTGTTCAGATATTCTGTTTCTTCTTGATTCAGTTTTGGAAGATTGTATGTTTCTGTAAATTTATCCATTTCTTCCAGATTGTCCAATTTATTGGCATGTGGTGTCAGTCTTTTTTATTTCTGATTTTACTTATTTGGGTTCTCTTGCACTCATTTTTATTGAATAAATACTTGGGAGTGGAATTGCTGGATTATAAGACTCAGGTGTGTTTAGCTTTAGTAAATATTGCCAAATAGATTTTCAAAGGGTGGTTATAGAAATTTGCAACCAGTTTCAGTTCCATATCCTCACCTACATTGGTATTGCCAATTGTTAACTTTAGCTTATCTGGTGGAGGTGTAGGAGTACCTTATTATGGTTTCTATTTGCATTTAGGATAAAGATATTGAACAGCTTTTCATATGTATTTTGGCCATTTGGATATCCTCTTTTGTAAAATGCCACTCAAGTCTTTTGCTTATTTTTTTTTCTATTGGGTTGTCTTTCTTTTCTTATTCATTTGTATTTTCTGTATGCAAGTTATATTTCTTATTTTCTCTCAATCTGTGACTTGTCTCTTCACTCTCTTAATGGTGACTTTTGATGAACAGAACTTCTTAATTTAAATAAAATTCTGTTTTCTTTTTAGTTTTTAAATGTGTTTTATACAGTATAGTCACCCTTTAAGTGTACTGTTCTATGAGTTTTGACAAATGCATGACATCACCACAATCAAGGTATAGAAATGTCCCATCATCCTTCAGAAATTCTTCATGCTCCTTTGTAGTTAGCCCCTCATCTACCTCCAGCCGTTGGCAAGGAATCTCTGCCCCTATAGCTTTTCCTATTCTAGAATGCCATATAAATGTAACCCTACGGTATGTGGCCTTTTGAGTCTGGCTTTTTTCACTTAGCATAATGCATTTGCAATCTAACCATGTTATTATATATATTACTAGTTCTTTTTAAATTCTGAGTAGTATTCCATGGTATGCTTTCCGCCATTTATCCATTCACCATTGTTTCCAGTTTGGGGCAACTTGTGTTACTTTGTTTATAGCCTATGCCTGAGGGAGAGACTTGCCACTCTTGTTCCTTCCCTTGCAGTAGATTCTCAGTAGACACTTGCCAGTCTGGTAGAGGAAGAGGCATTCTGCTCTCCTGGTTCAGCCTCAGTCTCAGTCAGGCAGGACCTGTGTCCCTGGGCTTTGGGGCTAGAGAACCTACTCAGTGAACCTGCCCTCCTCCCCATGGCAAGCAAACCCTGCCTGGTGTCTTGGTGGCACCTGGGTGGGAGAGAGCTTCCTGCCCCTCCCCCTGGGGAGGAGGGTTTCTTTGTTCCCCTTCCCCAGCTGTAAGGAGTCCACCCTGGGCGTGCTGTGTTTGCTGCTCTTCATCTCTCCCCACCCCGGGGGGCGGGGGGGTGCTTTTGTTCCTCCCTCACCCACTTAGGATGCTTCCTCTGCTCCCCCATTCTGACCCAGATGTTCTTATGAGCATTCTGTGAGGTTTGTGGAGAAAAATCTGTAAGGGGGTGTAAATTCCCCTTGTGCCTGTAGCTTCCATGGGTTCCTCTACACAGCAGCAAATTAGTAAAAATTAACTATGAATTTGTTGGTGGCGAAATGGCACCAGATGTTAGACTGCTGGCGTCAGACTGAACCTTGGTTCAGCAACTTCAGTACTGGCTAGGAAAGAATTCACATTCAAGACTCCAACTATAAGGGAGTCACAGCGGTAGAAGAAGTGAGTGTTAGAAGAAATGGGGTCAGGAAACAAGTTGCAGAGGCAAAAGAAGGGCCCTTGGAGCTTAGGAAAGAGGAAGGTAAAGGTTGGGGGTGGGGGGGGGAGGGAAAAAGCACAGGTATACTCCTGGGACTGGGGGCAGAGAGAGCAGGCTGGGTCCTCTATCCTAGTGGCTTTTAAGGGTGAAGATTTTAGGGGAGGATCCAATAGAATATTCATCAGCTTTCCACTGGTGTCCTTTCAGGGTCGTGGGCTTCACTGATTGGTTGGTGCCCGGGAGGGGTCATTAGTTAATGTAGCTGGTCCTGAGGTCAGCTCTGACCTCGCTTGTCTGGTTTTGCTGCTTTTCTGGGCCTGGAGCTGAACCACAACCTAAGCCTAGATGTATTTGATGTGGGTCAGATCCCCATTGTCCTGGGGGCTTAATGCTTAAGGGCTATTCTTCAGCCTCCTTATTTGTTCCCTCTCTAAGAGCATGGCCAGCAATAAGAAAATTCAGGGGGTCTGAACCTCATGACCACCGATGTGCTAGAGGAGAAAAGGTTGCCCTGGGGGCGAGGTCCTCATTTTCCCTGTTTCGTTCATTACAGGCACCCGGGGCTTTCTACCCTGGTGACCTTCTGTACCTGGCCCATCAGCCTTGCTCTACTCACGTCTGTCTAACTGCCTACCACAGAGTCATTACAGAGCGCTAGCTGCAATCTTCTTCCCCACTTCTCTGGTGGCTTGTCTTTCTCAGGTGCTCTGCCTTAGGTAAGCTAGTTCTCGCATTGCCTCTCTTCTCGGAGCCATCTGGTTTTCTTTAAATCTCATGCTACTTTGTTGCCCTGTGGCCTCTACTCTCTGGTGGGTTCAAGAAAAGTTCTGATGTTATAGGTTATTTCGCTTTTTATTGCGGTTAATGTGGGAGCAACATTTTTCTACATCCTAAGTGGAAGCTGGAATGACCTCATGAAATGTTATCTATCAGTCTTTTATGTATCCTATTTAAGAAATCATTGGCTAGTGGCATGGGTCATTTTCAAAGGCATTCTGACTGAGATTTTTCTGTCCAGCAGGGCTCCTGCCACAGCTGAGGAGGCCCCCAAAACAATGCAGGGGAACTACAGTAAATGGGAATCTGATGGGTGGAAGTGAAGGAGCTAGTCAGAGGAAGATGTGTATGGCCCACACCAGGGGAGTTTTTCTGAGAACAGTTCAGCTCACGATCATGGCAACAGAACTAGCAGGAGAGCAAGAGTCAGCATTACCCACCTGCCAGGTTTGCTTGGGACAGTGTCAGTCACCAGTATGATCAGCGGTCCTTTCCTTGACCTCTCTTCTCCTTTCCCCTCCCACCTGTGGACTGAGGGTCTAAGCATCCAGGGAATGAAAGATGTCATCTTCTGAATAAAGAGGGAAGAGTTAATTAATCTTGGAACGAGACAATTTAATTTTGAATCAAGACTGTATTTTGTGACTTCAAGTGACTTTGGGATCCTCTGTAACCCAAGAGGGAGCCATGGGCTCTGTCACTACTTTTCATCTAGTGACAGAAACATCTGAATGGGGGACAAACATAATGCTGTGTTTTTATTATTTCCCACACATTGTGCTGCTCAGTGT